AGGCAACAAATTAGTACAATCAACAAAAAGAAAACTAAAGTCCAACTCGGTTTACGTACCCCAACCGAGTCCAGAAGTCCGCCATTAGCGACGGTTGGCGAACAGTTGGTGACGGGCTTGAAACCCGTTGGAGGCGTTCTTCCGGTTATGCTTGAGTGCTTCCGTCACGAAGACGAAAGCGACGGTGGATGCTCCTATCCGTTCCGCATGGCTTAGGTCTGAAAAGAAGAAGGAAAGAAAGGATTAGTAAAAAGAACTGAATTAAAAACCAGTGACTTACCCCAACAAGTCGGCGACAGTCGCCGCGAGCCGTGACGGATCTTGACCTTCAGGTCCTCACGACTTCGGATCTCAAACGGCGATGAAGCTCCTCTCGCGGCGACGGTGAGTGATCGCCAATCGGCGATCTTGACTTGAGTGCGTCCCGTCTGTAGAAGAAGGAAACAAAGGATTAGTAAAAAGAAGAACTGAAGAAAAGACCAGCGACAATGATCCGGCATGACTTACTCCAACAAGAAGCGCCTTTCGCCGCGACGGTGAGTGATCGCCAATCGGCAACCTTGACTTCAGGTTGGGCTTGAGTGCGTCCCGCCTGTAGAAGCTTGACAGCAATCGGCTTCAGGTTGTCCACACGACCGTCTTCATTCAGGTGGCCCATCTTTGTGTCGGTGAAGACTGGAATCGCCGCAACGACGGGAGAGGCCGCACCAGCAGCATTTTGAATCAGCAGGGGAGGGCCGTGCTTCACTTTGAAGCTCTCGAAGTCCTTTCCGCAGCGAGCTCGGAGCGTAGACCTCGGTGCGAAAAAAGCGCCGTATATCTTCGTCGCGTGAAGGTCGTTTAATGAAGACCTTGCAGATATGGTCGCACCATGTAGATATGGCGGTGCAAATTTCGCGGTGAAAGGGTTGCCGCGGAAAATTCGGTACGGTACACGGTTCAGCCAAGGCACTCAGCAGCTCGCTCCTCACGACTCTCTACCCACCCACCCCACACCCGACTTTCTAACTCAACGCCGCCTCATGCCTTGGCTTCCTCGTGTACCATCCGGGTGAGCTCATTGAATTGGAGCTTCGAGAAAAAGAACTACACAAATGCAACATCGCTAGATTATAAGGAGCGGATGAGATGCTCGAGGAAGATGCAAGCAAATGGTAGCTCTTGAAACAGAAGGATAAGTTTGCTGGTGATTGGTGGATACAAATCCGCCATTTTGAATGGCGGCTCTGACGGCTTCGCGGCTTCGAAAACCATGCTGTGCTGCCGCCGTGTGGGAGGGAATTCCTGAATCCTGACACCAGGCTGTGTGCGCGGTGCGAAAATTTACAGTGTGATGTGAATGGATGGATGGTGGTGGTGCAGTCGACCGCAACGGTGGGAAGGTGTGTGGACTGCGGCGCCGAGATTGTAGCAGGGGACCAGAGGTCATTAGTCGAGCCGCGCGTGAAGAACAGTTTGAGGTGGCTGAAATTGTGCCCTCACCCGCCTTGTCCATCCAGTTCAACCAAGTAGTACAGCACATTCGTTTTGCACATTCGGGTTACACAAATTGGATTGATTCTTTTGTATGCAAACGAGTTTGCCAAAGGCAAGGTTTGGTGGTGAGGGAAGTGTTTTGCGGGCGTTGGTGTGGAACAGCAAGGATAGGCTCGGGCTTTCTAGGAGGTGGTTGACGTGGCGCTATCTCTAGTTGATTTGGGCCGTGAGTTAGTTTAGCTGCGTGGGTTTTGCGTGATGTGCGGGACTGCTTTGGTTCGGCTGGCTCACGCTCACTCCCCTGAACCTGCTCGGGCAGCTGGAATAACAATTGATGCTATGAGAAAAGATTGCGCGAACCAATGGAATGAAGGTGTTTTGGACACCCTGGCACAACCACCGGACCTGGTACTGGGCCTGGTACTCCGAACCTGCCACCATCGCTCCACCCGCCATTTCCCAGATGTATGTGACTTGCACCAGCTCACGCTAACTTGCATTCAGTAGTGGTTTCGCCACACATCTCCTTAGTTACGATAGTTTCTTCTTTCGTGAAGACAGATCTCAGCGCGATGGTCGATCTAGTTAGTACAGCTTTTCATATCAGCGGAATATTTCATGTAGCTCAGGCTCTCGGTCGTGCTTTTTTTCTACTGGCATGCTAGCAGTATCAGACCTGAATAGATATCGCAGTCTCGGTTAGACAGTCTAAGTTGCGCGCTCCAGAATAGTAAATATTTCCACATATGTAGTAACGGACGGAATAGTAACATTCGTGGCGGACGAATAATAGCGTCGATTTCTGACGCATCAGTAGCGACTCGCGTATCGTCGATTAAACGGCGCGTTTCGTCGACTTCACAGCGTCGACGGTATCCTGGACGCAAGACGCGGAAAAGGAGGTGAGTGGAGGTGACGGTAATCTCCCCCTCCCCCTCTCCTTCACGCTTTCCCCCTCGTGACTTCACAGCGTCGACTGTATTCTGGACGCGGGACGCGGAAAAGGAGGACGGGAGGTGAGTGGAGATGAGCTGATGGCAGAGTAGGGGGAAATTGACGTAAAGGACTGGAGAAAGGGGGAAGCGCCCATTTCCCTAATTTCCGCTTTTCTCCTCCCCTTTCTGCTTTTCCCCTTCCCTTTCCGCTTTCCCCTCCCCTTTCCGCTTTTCCCGTACCCTTTCCGCTTTTCCCCTTCCTTTTCCGCTTTTCCCCTACCCTTTCCGCTTTTCCCCTCCCATTTCCGCTTTTTCCCTTCCCTTTCGCTTTTCCCCTCCCCTTTTCGCTCCTTCCCTCCCCTTTCCGCTTCCGCCACTCCCCCCCCCCCCGTCCCCTCATTTTCCGCCTTTCTCCTCCCCTTTCCCTTTCCGCCTTTTCCCCTCCTCGTTCCGCCTTTTCCCTCCCCTTTCCGCCTTTTCCCTCCCCTTTCCGCCTTTCACTCCCCTTTACGCCTTTTCCCTCCCCTTTCCGCCTTTCTCTCCCCTTTACGCCTTTTCCCTCCCCTTTCCGCGCCCCCCTCATCTGCCTGGACTTGAGTGCGCGTCGACGGTCCCAGCCTGAACGCAAGACGGCAAAAAGGGAGAACGGGAGTGGAGGGGAGAAGGAAGACGAAATGCACGGAGAGGACTGACGAAAGGAGAAAGCGCCCATCTTTCCCTTCACCCCCCCCCGCTCCCCCCCTCCCCTTCTTCTTCCCCCCCCTTCCTTTCCGTCGCCCCCCTGTCCGCCCTCCCCTTTCCGTTCTCCCCTTTCCACTCCCCCCCTCAACTTCCTGGTGTAAGGTGAGTGAAAGGGATTGCATCTGAGGTGAGTAAAAGGGGCATCTGAGGTGAGTGAAAGGGACATCTGAGGTGAGTGAAAGGGATTACATCTGAGGTGAGTGAAAGGGACATCTGAGGTGAGTGAAAGGGATTACATCTGAGGTGAGTGAAAGGGACATCTGAGGTGAGTGAAAGGGATTACATCTGAAGTGAGTGAAAGGGATTAGATCTGAGGTGAGTGAAAGGGATTACATCTGAGGTGAGTGAAAGGGGCTATTTTTGAGGTAAGTATTTGGGTATTGGATGGGTGAAAGCCTCTTTAACATGTTCACAAATGTATTCGCGTTATTTCCAATGTGGCATTGTGGGGCATGGCAATGTGTGGCATGGCATTCTGTGGCATGGCATTGTGCGGCATGGCATTGTGCGGCATGGCGTTGTGTGGCATGGCATGGTGTGGCATGGCATGGTGTGGCATGGCATGGTGTGGCATGGCATGTGTGGCATGCAATCTGCAGGCCGTCAACAGCTTGAGGGAGGAGGAAAGCGGTGGGGTGAAGAGGCGTGGCACTGCGTCATGGTCTGCACACCACGTCGCATCACCTTTGTTCTGCTGCTCTGGGTTGTGTTTCCGACTCCCACATCCGATTTTTATTTGTTGTTTTACTCGTTTGCCATGCTGTCAGTAGAGGTCTTTTCCAGCTACAATACGGAACCCTCAGCATTCATTTCTTCTCCGTACTTACTCTCTGCAGTGGTCTGAGATTGTTAACTCTCAAGAAAATGTACACTGCACTACCCAGGAGAGCATTGTATCATTATCTCACTGTCTCATACTGTCTCAAAGAGTATGTGGCTTCATCAGTCCAGCAAAGGCAAACAAAACACCTACGGTAGTCTGTGGCTAATGGCCCATGCCATGCGCAAATGGTATTACGATAGCCAAACTGCTCCTCGCTGAAATCCAGCTAGTCATCTTGTTTAGATTCCAAATACTGTCACCAACACTTGTCGTCCCACCAGACACTTCACTATATTGAAGCTAATCTGTAAGGCTATCTATCAATATTCGTAGCTTCAAACTAGTTTTCCATTACACGCAACAGGTATATAGTGTATAATTATTTGCATTTGATACAATCACTAGGTACAGCACAGATGATAGCAGACTAGCAGTGCTTGCGTGGCTTTGCATTGTACTGTCAAAACATACCGTAATCTCCCGTATATAGGACCCGGGGGTCTTATCAGAAATGTTGTGAATAATGATTAGGTGAACAATACCAAGGGGCATATTTACTAAGACCCCTGAACACATTAAGAATTCATAGAGCACAATGTATTCACTCATAGCACTGGAAAGTCAAGCTTTTACCGAGGGTGTTGAATTCTTCCCCTGACGCGGATTCGAATCTCAACAGTAAAATCCACGCAAAATCGAATCCTGACTGGAATTCGACGCGAAACTGTCTCGCGTCACCGTTTTGTGCCTGATGACGAGTCAGCCGAGCATCACCAACCCCCCAGATTCGTTAAGAATATAACATTAATTTGAAAATTTGACGAAGGAGGGGGGTCTTAAAATATATATTTAAAAAAGGGGGGTCCTCACGAGAACAGGTCGGAATAAAAGACCCTTGGTCCGGAAAGAGGACCCGGGGTCTTCTCCGCGGGGGGGTACTGTATCCGGGAGATTACGGTATAATCAGTGCCACGACTCACATCACATCACATCACATCACATCACATCACGTGCGCGCGCATTGCTCAGTCGGAGAATGATCGTTTGATGGCCACTCGAGCGAGAAGTTCACTACGACTCCGCAGGAATAGAGCTGTTAGTGGTGTGGTGCGGTGATGGTGCAGTAGGATGTGGTGTGGTGTGGTGACAATCAAACACACAGGAGAGGACAGGTGAATTAAGGGAGAGCGAGCGCCTAACAGGCAGCACAAAGGCAGAAACTTAGCCCAGCAATTACCTGGACTCAGGCTACCACACACCTTGTCGCAAAGTTCAATGTACCAGCAAGTTGATACAGGATGCTTGCTGCTGGCTGGTGAGGCTGGTTCTATTGAACGTGGGAGAGCATGCAGACTTTCTTTCAATCCTCGAATAGGAGACACCCTGCCCCACCAAGGGTTCTCCCGCTCTCCCCATTCCACACACACACACGCACACGCGTGCGCGCGCGCACGCACACACACACGCACAAACAATCCGCACACAGACATAAAAAATACACAAACTCACCCACTCACCCACTCACACCCTGCCAAGTCAGTCACCCTTCCCACGCACCTGTGAGCATGCCAATGCGTTAAGGCACACTCCCACACTCCCACATACACAACCTCACACCCTCCCCACGCACCTGTGAGGATGCCAATGCGTTGGGTGATACTATTCGCTTCCAACAGCTGCTGCCGCCCCTCACTCCTCTCCACTCCACCCGGCACAGCAGCAGCAGCAGCAAACGACAGCTGCTGCACCCGCCGCACCAGCACCAAGGGCTCCTCCCTCCGCATCGCCCCCACCTCCTTCGCCCCTTCCCCACTTTTTCCCGCATGCCCCGTTTTCCCCTCTCTTCCCGCTCTCCCCTCTATCCCAGTGTTTTCTTCAATTCCCTCAGCCCTGCAGCTCTCTTCCCCTTGCCCCTCCCCTTGCTTCTCCCCCTTCCCGATCCACTTTCCCTTTTCCGCCTCTGCCTCCGCCCCCACCTCTGCCTTCCCTTCTTCTGCTTCCCGTCTCTCTGCTTCCCCCTCCTCTGCTTTCTCCCCCTCTTTCCCCCATGCGCGCCCATCCAGTGCCATTAGCTGCGCCTGTGCCCCTTCCAGCATGCTTCCGCCCAAAAAAGAGGGGTTTATGTGGTGTGAGCGGGGGGGCAGTAGGGGGAGCAGGGCGGGGGGGAGCGGGGGGAAGGAACCATCCATGCGTAGGCGAGAAGAGAGGTCTCTTGTCTGATGGGGGGGCAGGCAGGGGAGGAACGGTGAGAGAAAATGGGGAGAGATGGGGAAGAGAAAGAGGAGAGAGGGACAGGTGTTGTGTGTTTGCGTGAGGTAGCACACAACACCGCAAGTGGCACAAAAGCGGCACCACACTAAACCACACAAAACCGCACCGCACCATACTTCATCGCACGGCACCCCACCACACCATACCTCATCGCACCGCTTTGCACCGCACCTGCTGCAGCAGAGCCCAGAGGCGAGCCTCTCCCCGCTGCAAGCGCAGGGAGAGTCGCTGCAGTGCACGCCTGTTGATGCTGTTGGGAGGGCCCCTGTGTAACACCCTCCCCATACCATCCACACCACCCACACTATCAGCACCCTGCCCCTTCGTGAGGAGAACCCCTGGTAAGCCCTGTCCCTGCAGCACCACACGTTCCCCAGGCAACACATGCCCACCCACGCCACCATCCACACCCTCCCCCCGTTCCTCTCCCTCCTCCCCTCTCTCCCTCTCCTCTCCTTCCTCCTCCTCGGTCCACTCCAGCCCGCCAACAAAGGCGTGCAGCAGCAGCGCCTCTTGGTCCTGCTGCTCCTGCACCTGCGCTTGGCAGTATGGGATGGTCTGCAGGGGAAGGCAAGAGGGGACGGAATGGAGGGAATTAGAGACACCTCAGAAACCTCCTGCTTTTGCACCTGTGCTCGGCAGTGTGAGATGGACTGCAGGGGAAGGCAAGAGGGCAGAGGACGCAAGGAGATAGGGATGAGCAAAGAAACGAACACCTGTTCGGTTCGCCTCGAACGCTCAAATTGTTCGCCGAACACTGTTCGAGGTTCGGCCGAACACGTTGTGTTCGTGGCGCTGCTGCAGAACGCCCCATGGCGAACACGAACGTGTTCGAGGTTCGCCCGAACACGCCTTCACAGGCGAACGGCGAACACCCTTTTTTGGGGAAGTCGTTCGGCGAACCGAAACGCGAACATTTCCGAGTTCGCCCTTTGCTCATCCCTAAGGAGATCTATGAGCGAGGCTGAGCTGAGGCGTAACAGTCAGAAGAGGAAGGAGAAGCAGGGTGATGGAGATGCCTCAAAAACAGCGAAGCTGGTTGGTATGTTGAAGTGGGTGCGAGGTATGTCAAGGGAGGGGAGGGGGTGGTGGTGCATGGTGGGACACTGGTACCTGCAGCAGGTGGTTGACTCGCACGGTGGTGATGGCAGTGCTGCCTATGAGCATGCGAGTTGACTTTTGAGTCGACTCAAAAGTCAACTCGGTATGTGAAGGGAGGCAGGGGGGGTGGGTGGGTGGGGTTATGCTGATACCTGCAGCAGATGGTTGACTCGCACTGTGGTGATGGCAGTGCTGTCTATGAGCATGCGCCCATCAGAGAAGCGCTTCACCTGTGCATGGGGGGTTGGGGGTTGGGGTGGGGGTGTGGGTGGAATATTTAGTGGAGTCAAGAAGTGGGGGTGAAGTTGGGGTTCGGGTTGAGGTTGAGGTGGGGTGGGGGGTCTGGGTGAGGCCTTCAAGATAGGCCCCCCCTTCCCTCCACTCTACTCCCTTGTCCCACATGCCACCCCTTCAGTTCACCTCATTCACGTGCATGAGGGCCCCAACACAGCCTTCTAGAGCATCTTCTTGTGGGCTTTAACATATATTCCCCCACCCTACTCCCTATCCCCAAATCCCACACCCCCCCCTTTCACTTCACCTTATCCACGTGCATGAGGGTGCCAACACGGCCTGTGAGAGCGTCTGTCAGGGATGTTCTCCGAGTTGTGCCCTTCACTCTCCTTGTGCCCCGCACACCTCCCTGCTCATTCACCCTCCCTGTCCCGCTGCCGCTGCTGCTGCCGCTGCTGCTGCCGCTGCTGCTGCCGCTGCTGCTGCCGCTGCTGCTGCCGCTGCTGCTGCCGCTGCTGCTGCCGCTGCTGCTGCCACTGCTGCTGTTGCTGCTGCTGCTGCTGCTGCCACTGCCGCTGCCACTGCTGCTTTTGCTTTTGCTGCGGCTGCGGGAGAGTGGCAGCACGGGTGGCGGGCGGCGCAGAGAGGGCGGCAGGAGAAGATGCACGTAGAGGTGGGGTGGAGGGCCGGCCAGAAGCTTCTCAAACACTGCCATGGTGTGCGTAGAGGGGTGTGCGTAGAGGGGTGTGCGGAGGGCGAAAGTTGGTGGAAGGCGGAAGATGGGAATGGGGGGGCAAATGAGGGGAGGTGGGGGGTTAGGTAGACGGTGGGGGGTTAGGTAGACGGTGGGGGGTTAGGTAAACGGTGGGGGGTTAGGTAGACAGTGGGGGGTTAGGTAGACGGTGGGGGGTTAGGTAGACGGTGGGGGGTTAGGTAGACGGTGGGGGGTTAGGTAGACGGTGGGGGGTTAGGCAGACGGTGGGGGGTTAGGTAGACGGTGGGGGGTTAGGTAGACGGTGGGGGGTTAGGTAGACGGTGGGGGGTTAGGTAGACGGTGGGGGGTTAGGCAGACGGTGGGGGGTGCAGGCAGAGGAAACGGTGGGGTGGGTACCATGATGGAGCATTGCCAAGGGGGTTAGCATGCTGAGGATCTGGTGACACTAAGGTAGGGGAGGGAGATGCAAAGAGATGGTGGGACGTTAGGGGCGAGGCTGGACGCATTACTCTGGAAACAGAGGCGGGGTTGAAGAGAAAGAATGATTTCTGAGAACGCAAAAAGAAGGATGAAGGCATGGGGGGAGTGAGAGGCCCCAGGCTGCACAATCCAAGAATCACTCTGCACAATCAGAGAACTCTCAAAAGGGTGGCAGGGGCGAGTGATTACTGAGGACGTAATGGGGCATGAAGATGTGGAGGGAGTCAGGGGCCCCCAGCAGCACAGCCCACTGCACACAGAACACCGGGAACTCCATTGCACCGCTTTTCACCGCACTCGCCGCATCCCCTCCCCCCTCCCTCTGCCCCCCCGCCTCTTCCCCCCCTGCAGTTTCCCCCCTGCAGTGTCCCCCCCTGCTGCTGCAGCAGCTACCGTCCGTGACTCTCTAGTCCTCCTCGTGTCGCCACTTCCGCCATTGTTGATTGTCCCATCGCTGCTTACGCTTCCTATTCGTCCGTCTCTGATTGATCTACAGCCGCTGGTTACCGCGACGCCTGTGCTTATCCTTGTCCTGCCGCCAGTGCTTATCCCCCTGCTAGTGCTAAGCAGCGCGCGACGGCGGTACGCGGAAGCTGATTGGACTGCGGACGGGAAGAGGGTGGCGCGAGCAGCCTGGCGGAGAGGGGACCGGGGGGCGGGGAAGATGGGGAAGATGGGGAAGATGGGAAAAAGGGTGTGCATGGGGGGGGTTGGGAAGGAGGAAGTGCGGAGGAGCGGAGGGAAGGTGAGCGGAGGCAAGCAATCGCCAATGGTAGGAGAATGCGATCGGGTGTTGTGGACTATGCGACGTGGAGATGGTGCGATGATTGTGCATTCCTGCGACGGTGCGAACACTCACCATTACTCCTATGCGCTCCGCGCATGGCACGCGATGATTGCGCTCCCACGAAAGGAAACGTGCCGAACAATTGCAAGCTAGTTGCGGGCCAAGCTCAACGATAGAATGTGGGCGAAGCGGTGGGAAGTCTCGGGCAGAACGCAAGGAATCTGCGTTCCGCGAAGACAGCGAACTCGTGTAACCAGCGGGAATTGACGAAAATTTTATGTGTATGGCTCAGTGTAGCCTTGAGGCAGGGCGCGCTACGTGGCAATACCAAGGTGGTTGTGACAAGATCGAGAGTTGAGACCACGCAACGCAACCCAGTATTTGATTGGCTGGGCATGAACTGATATCGAGGTAACCCGTGGAATATAAACCCACCAGTCAAATTTGCTGGTTTAGGGTTTACTTAGGAGGAAACTTAGTGAAATATGCATATCGCTGTACTGCACTTCGGTTTGACAATATTATCGAAGCATCGTGAGTGCTGTACCATCAGCCTACGGACCTGCGGTGCCAGCCAAACACGCTTCACTCAAATCACTGGTGGTTCGGGTCATGGCCCTTCGCTCTTCAACGGCTAAGCTTCACCAACCTCTTAGGACACTATCACACTCCTTTTCATATCAGCCCTTATATGCTCCCTTCCCTTGCTTGATCCGCGACGCGACACGCGTTTATGTGTCGTTTCAACCCTGGGCCAGAATTGATTGGTCACTGGCTCCGTTTTAGGGTTTCCGCCCAGGTTCTTCTCATCAGCCGCGCAATCTGTGGGGGGTGAAGTAGGTGGTTTTCCACGGTAACGAAAATTGCAATCGAGTACGGAGGAGTCACCTCGTCCAACTTCTGACAAACCATGAGGAGAGAACGAGGAAGACGGGATTCCTATCCCGTGATCCGGAACCTGCGCCGCCTAGTTGTAATCCTTGCATTTAAAGCCTAGTCAGTCTGACGTCCCACCCGCGACATTGTCAGCGCATCGTGCTCGTTTCGCGGAAGCATCGTGCACGCATTGTGCACTCGCTTTCTCGCATCTCCTATTCATCATACCCGCTTATTTCCCCCTCGGTTCGCGCGCGTTTTGGCGCGCTTCCAGCACTCCGGTCCCTCGTACAACCCCCCATTGGCATCAATATGGCTCTCCCCGACGCAGCAGCGAAACCCACAGCCTCCGCCGCCGCCGCTGCCGCCGCAACGTTGACAGCTCAAGCGGCCGCAAAAGCCGCCGCGAAAGCCGCATCGAAAGTGTCCGCTACTGCGAAAGCTGCCGCCAGTGCCGCTGCTGCCGCCACAGATACCGCCACGACTTTCGTTCGCCAGAGATTGCATGGGACTTACGTCTGGTTACTCGCCGTTTTCGCTGCAATCTCTCATCACCCGCACGTGAAGAAGCTTCTCAAAGCCGATTGGTCTGTCATCCGTGACGTCATCACTTCCTGCACCGCGTCATCCTCCCTCAGCGCCAGCAGCAGCGACCGCGCATCCTCGTCCTCTTCCGCCTCCGCCGCTTCCGCGCTCTCCCCCTTCCCCCCGTTCCCCCCCGCGCTCCGCGCGTCGCTGCGCGCCGCCTCCTCCTGCCTCGCGCCCGCGTTCGGCGTGACGGTGAAAGCCGTTCTGCTCCTCGCCGTGACGCTCGTTCTCGCGCCGCTCATAAGCTCGCTCCTCGCTGTCACGCTCGTGCCGCAGGCCGAGGCGCCGCATCCGACGGCGTGTCGCGTGGTGGATTATTTGGAAAAGCCGGAGGCCGAGTCCCGGTTACACAGCCTACCGGTGCTGTATTTTATAGCGGGGTTGGAGACAGCGGGGCAGGGCGTGTTCTACACGCTGTTCAGGTGGGATGGGGTGGAATGAGGTGATGTGGTGGGATGGTGTGGAATGCGGTGAGAAGCCCGATGGGTTTGCATGCACTGTTCAGGTGGGAAGGGGGTTGAGTTCTATGTTTAGCTGTATCATGCGGTGAAGCAGCAGAAGCAGCGGCATGCGGGGAGATGACCAAGGTGCCTGCTGAGTCAATTCCCGCACTTCCGCCCTCCCCCCACTCTTTCTCCTCTACCCCGTCCCCTCTCCCCCACTACCCCCTCCCCGCCTCTTCCCCGCACCCGCAGCGAGCTATACGAAGGGCTGCAGCAGCAACATCCCCGGCAGCAGCAGAGCGCGGGTGAGATGGCAGAGCCAGAGTCTGAGTGGAACCAAACAGAGCTGCTGCTGACGCGCAGCGCGGCGCAGATCGTGGACATGTCGCTGCCCGGGCGCAAGATCTACACGGAGTGCCCGCGGATTGAATACTCGCGCCAGGCGTCCGACCTTGCTGCTCTCATCTCCTCCAAACTCGCGCCGCTGCAGGTAGGTGGGTGGGGGGGAGGGCGGGGAGGAGGGGGGTGGGATGGGAAGGAGGTGGGGTGTGAGGAGAAGAGGGGACGGGAGGGGAGTGGTTGTGAAGGGGAGGATCAAATCGGGGGCAGAGCAGTTTGCGGAGTGGAGCGGGAGCGTCAAATTTGGTACGCAAGGAGGTACGTTGAGTTGATTGGAAGGTTGTTGTCGGATACGGCTAGCTTACCTCTCATGCTTCCCGCACCACACCTGCTCTCACCTCTCTCAATCAGTCACGCTCATTCTCCTCTCCTTCAACGGCTGCCTCTCCTCCGCCTGCCCCTTTCCTCTTCTCCACTCCCTTCTCAACCCGTTCACTCTCCCACCCTCCCTTCTCACCCCCTACCCTTTCCCACCCTCCACTCCCCCCCTCCGACGCCCCTTCTCCCCACCAGGTGCAGGCATCAGCGGGGCTGCGGCAGCGGCAGGGCAGGCGCGCGCCAGTGCTGCTGCTAGCCAACTCGTCCTTCCCCATGGGTGCCTCCCTGCGCACGCCCCTCGCCCGCCCTGACCTCGTGTCCCTGGGCCTCTACCACGGCCTGCTCTACCGCCTCAAGGTGGATGGGCCCTGCTTCTCTGCTTCGCTGATTGCCTGTAAAGCACAATCTCTTTATATTTTGTTTGTGTGATCGGAGCTTCATTTTCCTGCCTGCCCATTCTTTCCCCCCCTTTCCTCACGTTTCCCGCCCCACTGCAGGTGATAGTGAGTGTGCGGAACATCTCAGACGTGATGGCATCAGCCATCAGAGCGCACTATGACAAAGATGACCCTGGCTTGCAGGTCCCTTTCTCCTCCCTCCCTCCTCCCACCCTCCTCTCACCCTCGTCACTTCCTCTCGCACTCCCTCTGTCGATCGATGCCTGACTGAAACTTTCTCCATAGAGTGCTGCTTCATTCAAGCATCCTGGACTGCCTCCACCCTCGCTCTCTCCTACTCCATATTTGACTGCAGAGCTCCACACTCGTTGTTCATTCTTGCACCAGTCTCTTGCTCCCTACCTTTCCTTGCTCTCTCCACGAATAATCTCAATCTCTCAGCAGCACCATCCACTCCACCATTACAGAACACCTTCCCGTGCCCCCTCTCTCATCCTTCCTCTTCCCCTCCTCCACAACCCTATAAACTCACACACGACCCCCCAAACTCCCGCACAACCCCTCAAACTCCCGCACAACCCCCCAAACTCCCGCACAACCCCCTGCTCTTCCCCCACCCCACTGATTGCTGCACACTCCCTTCATCATCCCGCCCTTGCTCTCCCAGGTACGGCTTGTGGAGGACAGTCTAGTGTACCTCGATGCTTCTCTGCGCTGCGCCAGCTACCACGCACTGCAGCCCATGCTGCTGGTATCAGATTCACCGTGTACTGTTTGTGTCAAAAATGCTCCAAGAGATCGCACAACTGACTCAACCCTATGCCACTTATCTCCCTCCCCTGGTCGCACAGGTGCGGCTTGTAGAGGACAGTCTAGTGTACCTCGATGCTTCGTTGCGGCAGCTACCGTGTGGGACCTATGCCATCGCCAACCTGGATCACCTCATGTCCTCTCCATCTGTCAGTGTCTTCCTCCTTCCCTCTCTCCCTCTCTCCTCTCTCTCTCTCTCTCTCTCTCTCCCTCTCTCTCTGTCTCTCTCTCCTCTCTCTCTCTCTCTCTCTCTCTCTCTCTCTCTCTCTCTCTCTCTCTCTCTCTCACACACACACACACACCCACTTTTGATACTTCTGTTTTGACATGCATTGTCTGCATGCCGATCTTGTCCCGGCCAGCTCACTCATTCTCCTGTTGATGCAGCAGATAAGTAACATTTGTCCATCTCTTGCCTCCTACCCCCGGCCCCCCTCCCCTGCTCCCCTCCCCTCTCAACCCCCCAGCCCCCTTTTGTATCGCAGCTCGCTCGCTTTCTTGACCTACCAGGGGTGCATGAGGACCAGCTCCTCACCGCTCTACACCGCACTCGCACGGTCTGGGCCCGTCCTCGACCGCAGACAACACCTCGATTCAACGGGGAACCTGTCGCAGCCTTTTTTCGCCGGAGGCGACACCTCTGGCCATTGCTAGCAGGCACCCAGGAAAACTTTTTTTTTGCAGGGAACCCTGCGGATTGGCCTTCTGGTGTTTTATCTCGCCGTGACCCTTGGACGTAACTGTTTAGTGTTTTAAGCTGTTCTGATGTGTGTTATTGCAACTGGGCCACGAAGGCCTGCCTGTATTGTTGATGTTTACTGCACTACATTGTCGCTCTACCATGTACCATCCTACCGTTTACTATACTCCAATGTACTGTACTAATATGTAGGGAATAATGAGAAAAAGTTTTCAGGAAGAACCCTACTCCACACACACACACACACACACACACACACACACACACACACACACACACACACACACACACACACACACAGATATATATATATATTTATATATATTTATATGCAGCTGCATGCGTGAGTCACCCCTTAGTTTCTGTAACCACCTCTTGCAGCTGCATGAAGCGCGCGTGGAGGTCAGCGACATAACGCACATCCTTATTGACAATCCCGATATCCAGGAAAAGTGGCAGCATCCGTCGCTGCTAGAGCATCCCTGCCAATAAACAAAACAATGCAGTTGGTACATTCGGTATGGAGCGAAAGCAAAACAGCAATAAGTGTGCGATACCAGAAGAGAGGCCTACGGTACCTGTGTGCAATACAGTGTCAGGACAACAAGTGCGAAACTCTTGTACGCACTCATGCCACCAATCCAGATTAACCGCCTGTCATTATGCTCACTCCATTAGTGGATATGCCTTTCAGGTGATTCTGACAACGGGCAGCTGAGACGATGCCTCGCACTTGTCGACAGACAGGTTGGCATAGAACTCGGACATATTGCTCTTGTGTCTTAGGAAGGTGAGGCAAACAATCACGTGCTTCATGCACTGCCTACGGTATTAGTGCTTTCGTTGAGTTGAATTCCCAGATGACTTTTTGAGATGTGACGCAGTTGTTGCACTTTCAGGTAGGACGTCATAGTCTCCATGTGTCAAACATTGCATGTTTATATTGTCTAGGCTGTAGTGGGTTACACCTTAGGGGGTACACAAAGTTAGGGTTTCCTACTTGTACCAAACTCTGTTCTAGTTCATTCATTCCTGCTCAGTTATTTCTGACATGGTATCAGAGCAGGTCCTTCGCTAGGACTGTTCTTAGGGCCCACCGACTTACCTACCTGCTTACCTTCGCTTCTTTTCGGCCCCGATGGCCCCGTTCCACGATCTAGCGGCCCTGCGGCCCCTTCGAATTTTTTTTAGCGGCCTCTCACGGCCCCCGTCGCGTCGCCCCTTAGCGCCCCGATCGGCCCCGTCACGCCGCCCGCGAACCGCACAGCGCGCCGCGCTCACAGCCCGCGAACCGCCCACGCGCAGCCCGCGAACCGCCTGCGCAGCCCGCGACCAGCCCGCGCAGCCCGCGCACAGCCCGCGAACTGCCCGCGAGCAGCCCGCGACCTGCCCGCGAACCCCCGCGAGCCGCCCGCGACCCGCTTACGCAGCCCGCGAGCAGCCCGCGCAGCCCGCGCTGAGCCTGCGCGGCTCGTGCGCTGACCGCCGCCGGCCCGCACGCTGCCCGCACTGCTCCCGGCCCGCCGCTGCCGAGCCCGCAGCCGCCCGCGCACCGCCTCTGCTGAGCCCGCAGCCGCCCGCGCACCGCCGCTGCTGCGCCCGCTGCCGCCCGCGCACCACCGCTGCTGAGCCCGCAGCCGCCCGCGCACCGCCTCTGCTGAGCCCGCCGCCGCCCGCGCACCGCCGCTGCTGCGCCCGCTGCCGCCCGCGCACCACCGCTGCTGAGCCCGCCGCCGCCCGCGCACCGCCGCTGCTGCGCCCGCCGTCGCCCGCGAATCACCGCTGCTGAGCCCGCCCCTACTACGCCGGCTCTCGCTGCCGCCTGCTGCGCCTGTGCACCACTGCATTCCTACTACTACACTTTCTGCTACTACTGCTTGTGCGCCACTACAGTCCGTAGGCCCCACCGGCCCCGCTGACCCTGCGCACGCCTTTTCAGTGACTTTACTGCTTCTACTACTGCCGCTGTCGCTATGGCTAGTCCTCCTGTTCTAGCTTTCGACGCCGAGGGCCGTCCGGTCAAATTCGAAACCTGGCTAGATGACCTGCACCTTTTCCTACAGCTCACTGCCAAGGAAGATATTACACTGTACGACCACGCTCTCGGCCATGCGACCGCCCCACTCGCTACTGCCCCCCCAGCTGAGCGCTCACAGTGGCAGACCCGTGACGCGCACGCTCGCTTTGCTATTCGCAACTCCCTGCCGCTAGATGAGCGCGAGCACTTCGGCCAGTGCAAGACTGCTAAGGACCTCTACACAGCTGTAGTGGCCCGCTACTCCTCACCCGCTTCTGCCACACTAGGCCGCCTCACTCTCCCCTACCTGTTCCCCGACCTAGCCTCCTTTCACACTGTCGCAGACCTCATCACCCACCTTAAGACTAGTGAGGCTCGCTTTCGCGCTGCCATGCCTGATGAGTTTCTCGCTAGCAACCCCCCCCCGCTCTGGATCACTCTCTACCACGTTGTCACCCGCCTCCCTGACTCTCTGCGCCCTGTCAGGGACCAGTTCCTCTCTCGCTCCCCCACTGAGCTCACCATAGCCCTCCTCGAGAAGGAACTGCTTGCAGCCGAGGCTAGTATCGTCGCTGTAGGCACCTCTCGTGGCGACCCCCGCGGCCCCTTCTTCGAGGGGTGCTCCCCTTCCCCCCTCCTCCCCTCTGTCGCCTCTGCTGCTGCTGTCGACCTCCTTGGTGCTGAGAAGGTCGGGGCTGCGTCTGCTTCAGGCGGACGACGCAGGGGCAGGAGTGGCAGGAGTGGGGGTGGTGGCGGAGGAGGCGGGGGTGGAGGTGGTGGCGGTGGAGGTGCGACTGGAGAGACTAGTGGCGGCAGTGGTGGAGGTGACAGCGGTGTTGGGAGTGGTGACAGGGGCGGAGGTGGCAGCGGAGGCGGAGGTGGTCGTGGCAGCGGCAGGGGTGGAGGTGGCCGGGGCGGAGGCGGAGGGGGTGGTGGTCGTGGAGGCCCGGGGGGCGGTCAGAGTCAGCAGCCTTCCCCGACCCTTCAGGCCGCCCGTGAGTGGTATGCGCGACGCAGCGTCACCTGCCAGTACGTTATTCGTACAGGTGACCGCACTGGCCAGATGTGTGGGGGGCCGCACCAGACGGAGCGCTGCTTCGCCCGCCTCAACGATGCGTGGCGCACCCAGTTTCCTGGTGGGGGTGAGCTGCCGCGCTGGGCTGATCTGCTCAGGAAGGGTGTTGATATTTGGGCACTTGACTTTGATGCTATTCTCACTGCCATGTATGCGATGTCTATTAGTGGAGAGGGTGCTCAGTACTTGCGTGTTCCGCCCGACCCGGGCATTCAGGCCAGCCCCGCTGCTGCTCTAGGTGCTAGTGTGTCTGCTTCCACAGGTACTACTGCAGCTGCTGCTCTAGGTGCTTGTGCGTCTGTGCCCCCTGGTACTGAGTCGACTGCAGCACTGCACACCTTCACACTGGACTCAGGTGCTTCTCGCTCTTTCTTTCGTGACCGCACTGTCCTTGAGCCTCTAGCTCGGCCGGTTGCTGTCTCTCTTGCTGACCCCTCTGGGGGTCCGGTCCTTGCGACCTCCTCCACCACCCTTCCGTGTCCAGCGGTTCCGTCCGGCACACTCTCAGGTCTCTACCTCCCCTCGTTCTCCACGAACTTGGTGGCAGGTAGTGCGCTCCAGGACTCGGGTGTTCACCAGTTCACCCCTGCCTACGAGCGTGTGACTCACTGCACGTGTGCTCGGACGGGCCGCCACCTGGCTACTTTCACTCGAGAGCCGGGGTCTGACCTGTACACACTGACCACTGAGTCCCCTCAGGTAGCTGCGTCTGCGTCAGCGTCAGGTCAGCTGTCCGCCCCCTGCTCGTGTCGCTCTCTGGCGAACGACACCGTCCTCTGGCACCACCGCCTTGGTCACCCGTCTGTGCAGCGCCTGCGGGCCATGCACAAACGGGACCTTGTTGCTGGTCTTCCCAGGGTGCTCCCTCCCCTTCCTGACTCCCCTGCTCCTGACTGCATTCCCTGTGTCGAGGGGCGGCAGCGCGCCGCTCCTCACTCCTCCTCCTTTCCCCCGACGACCGCTCCCCTGCAGACGCTCCACATGGACGTGTGGGGCCCAGCCCGCGTCCGTGGTCAGGGTCAGGAGAGGTACTTCCTGATAGTTGTTGACGACTACTCGCGCTACACCACGGTCTTCCCCTTGCGCGCCAAGGGTGACGTCCCTGGTGTTTTGATCCCCTGGATCAGCCGAGCCCGTCTCCAGCTAGGCGAGCGCTTTCACTCGGACTTTCCTGTCCTGCGCTTGCACTCTGACAGAGGTGGTGAGTTCGCCTCCGACCTCCTGGCAGCCTACTGTGCTGAGCACGGCATTGAGCAGTCGTACACGCTTCCGGCCTCTCCACAGCAGAATGGGGTTGCTGAGCGCCGCATTGGCTTAGTCATGGAGGTCGCTCGTACCTCCCTGACCCATGCGGCTGCTCCCCACTTTCTGTGGCCGTTTGCGGTCCGGTACGCAGCACATCAGCTCAACCTCTGGCCCCGTGTCTCCTTGCCGGAGACTTCCCCGACTCTACGGTGGACGGGAGAGGTTGGCGATGCGTCGCGTTTCCGGGTCTGGGGATCTCGAGCCTTTGTCCGCGACACGTCTGCGGACAAGCTCTCACGTCGCACTGTTCCCTGTGTCTTTCTTGGCTTTGTTCCCGACGCGCCTGGATGGCAGTTTTACCACGTCACCTCGCGCCGGGTTCTGGCCTCTCAGGACGTCACTTTTGACGAGTCCGTCCCCTTCTACCGCCTCTTCCCCTACCGCACTGCCCCACTCCCCCCCCCGCCTCTCTTCCTCGCTCCAGGTGCTGAGGTACCAGACCCCCTCCCCCCTCAGGGTGCCGCTCCCTCAGGTGTGTCCCAGGTAGACCCGGGTGAGCCTGTCGAGGTAGCTGTTGACTCGCGTCCTGCGTCTGGGGGTGCTGAGCCTGGAGGTGCTGAGCCTGGAGGTGCGGAGCCTGGGGGTGCTGAGCCTGGAGGCGCGGAGCCTGGGGGTGCTGAGCCTGGAGGTGCGGAGCCTGGGG